GAGAGAGAGAGGGAGAGAGGGAGGGGGAGGGGGGCAGGCAGACAGAGACAAGGACAGAGACAGATGGACAGACAGGCGCAGAAAGTGAAAGAGAGAAAGAAACAGCTCTCATAAGCATAGTATTGAATTTTGAAAGGTACTAGGAATTACACAAAGATTCCTCTGATTCCCACTTACATTTACAGGTAGTCCTGGCCAATACTGTAAACTAAGAGGGATACAGATGGCAAAGTAAAAAAAAAAAAAAAACCCTAAATAAAAACTCAGGACATGAGTGCTCACTTCGGCAGCACATATACTAAAACTGAAATGTACGGAGAAAACTCAGGACATGGGATGGGGAGACAGCTCAGTGGTCTAAGTGGCTGCCCGACAAGTGCAAAGACCAGGGTTTGATGCCCTGGACAACATGCTATGCTGGCCCCGCGCCTGAGCCTGCCACTGAAACCAGACATGGAGGCACACACTTACTGTCTCAGCCCTGCGGAGGCTGGGACTGGAGGATCACTACAGTCCAACCTGCAGTGAGACCCTGTACCAAACACATAAATAAATAAAAGATTAAAACAAAAACTCAGCACATATAAACTGAGGGAGGTCATAACACAAATAATTGTAGGTGGGCACACAGTCCTGGAACTGAAGGCAGCTGAGTGCCTTAGCAGGACCGTCTCAAAACAATTTTTAAAGAGAATGAGGGAACATATAGCTCATATGAAAGCTCTAGAATCAATCCCCAAAACCATAAAAAAATTGAACTATTTTATGTACAAACACACTAAATTTAAAATGAAATGAAAAGACCCTCCCTGCTCAGTGTGCAAGACGAGGACAAATGATCCAGACACCACCTATTCCAAGGAGACGTGGCCAGAGCTGTTCTAAAGCAAGCCCTGCTCCTGCGCTGCCCACATGCTCTCGCTCGCCCAGAGTCTGGAGAGCCCTTCCAGAACACAGGGAGGAGCCTGTGCCTCTGCGGCTGAGGGGAGTCTCCCGCAGGAGGGCGGCCAGCTGGCGCCTCGCAGCTCACCAGGCTCACCACAGCTCTCGGCTGAGCCTCTCTCCTCGGGAGCACCGGAGGCCAGCTCTGGGGTCACTCACCTGCAGACCACTGTGGAGAGCCCCTCCTCCCCCGGCACTCCTGCAACTCCACCCTCAGCGGTCTGGACACTCGCCC